TACAGTATTTATAGTATATCGTTTATTCGTTCATTTGCTTTTAATTCAATGTACACTGTTTTTTTTATACGGCATTTAAATTTACTAACGTGGAGCCATAACCACTGGACCACCGAATATTGTCAATACTATGTATGTTATGCAAATAATTATATAAATGTATATTTAGAAATCCTCACTTTGTGTATTTGTATCTTTTATTATGTTAAAATGCCGGAGGCCTATTTATTGAATAAAAGCAATAGCGTGTATCAATGTTAATGGTTGGCCCTATTAACCCTCTAGGATCAAAATGTATAGAATTGGCCTATGCTGGGCCCTGTTAATCACACGACATAGCAAATACAGTACCATACAACCAATGTAAGACGAAGTAGCCCAGTCTAATAAGTTGAGCCTCTTTGCTAGGATTAGCTGGAATGGCTCAAGTATCATTCTGAGGAGAGTACCGACTGTTAAGCCTTTCAAAACGTGAGTTTACTCGATTGGTTTTATTTTATTTAGTTATTTATTCTTTGTACAGGAAAGCCTGTTCAGTAGATTACAGTATCTACTGTTTTCTCACAGGGCAAACGTCATTTGGCGTGGGCAGCATACCTCAAAGCTTTAATCAAGAATATTAATATTATTTTTTTTAAATCGACTCCCAAGCAAGTAAAGGAGATTTTTAATCTTTAAATAGGCCTATATCTCAATGCAGTTAATTACCTATTGACAATTAAAAAAACAAAACAGTGGAACAATTTTTTCCACCATGAAATTCGCAATACGCTGAATTATTTGGACAAAACGAATTGATTGTGGTCATTATAAGGCATAATAAGCTATACTAACTTCTGAGTTCAGTTATAAACCTGGGTGCTTGCCTGAGCCAACTATATAACATGTTCTCCTCTATTAATGCATTGTCTTCTTTAAAATAAAATTATATGTTTTGGAAGTGGAAAAATACCAGTGTCGGTGCCATCAGCGCGGGGTCTGGGGGGAAAACCCTGAACCCTCCGTCGGGAAATAGTGGAGAACACTACTCAGAGCCATTTCTGGGCATCTAGAGGTACCTATTTTTAACATTTGCTCACCTAAGCCCCAACCATGATGGAGTTGAGGTGGGCGTCAATGCCCCGTTCAGGAACTTTGTTGACCCCCAATAATGCTATACGTAATTGGTTGGATGCTATTGATAAACGTAAAGTTGTTTAGTCACATTTGATCATAATATCTTACTGCTACATAATGCCCTGATAAAATGTCATTAGCTTGGTTTAGAAGCTAAGTTGCATTCTGGGACCCTCACTATTTATAATTTTTTTATAAATGATTTTTCAAATTATCTGTCCGAGTGTTGTATAAATATGCAAAAATTATACTAGAATTTATTATGCAGGTAGAATGACAACAAAAACAAGCGTGAAAAATATTTTTTTCTACCATTTTCCAACACACACACACTAAATAAAATATGAAGAGTATATTGGAAAGTTATTATTAAGGCATACTAACTTCAAATATCAATAGCAGTGCCGTACCTAGGGGAGGGCGCAGTGCGGGGTCTTGGAGCTAGACTATCGAGCTTGCGCTCAGTGACTATTGTTGAATCCGATCTCCACGTAGCAGCAGGTACTGTAATACGATGTGTGCTTGCGTTAGGAAATATCATAGGAGTGATATTTTGCACTACCTGACATATTATCGTACCGAATACTTAGTACGTTCCCAAATACTTACGAAAAAAATTCTCAAGTGATTCGATGGGGAATCGAACCCACGGCCTCCAGATAACCCAAATGATCAATATTAGAACCATTACTTTTTAATATTTTTGTTAATTCACATCCTGAGGTAGTCCAAGGTAAATG